AGGGAAACTCCTTTTGACAAATGCTTCAATAACCTGATAAAGGTGATGTTTTGCAATCAAAAGGTCTGTTAAGTTCTTAGTCCAAAGGCTAACATGGGCCAAATAAACAAGGTTTAAGTTTATGTGGGCTGCAAAAAAACAAAAGCTTCAATTTTCATAGAAACATAGGTTTATTTCGATAGAGACATGCTGAATACAAAGGGCTGAAATAAATGAGTAATCATTCACATAAAATAATAGAACATTTTAATAAAAATTATTTTTTCTTGAACATTAGCCTACCAGACACTGAATAACTGCACAAATTAATAAGTGTAATGCAAATAAACCTATTTTTCTTGTTCTCTGAAAGCAAAAATATTTCTTGTTGCACACACCAGACAAGTCAGTCCAAGACTAATGGCTTGGCTGCTAAAATATTTGCTGCTAGTATTAGTGGAGAGAAATGATTCGCTTGCGCGTAAGGCGGGTAAGGGAAATCAATGCAACACGATCATAGTAACCAGTCATTAGTGATCGTTATAGTTCATTATTAATAATTATGTATAACAGAATACTGTAAAAATTAAGTTACGAAAAAAAAATTAAGTTACGAAATTTTTGTTAAGCCATTTCTTACATACCTTTATATTGGCTGGGCCGCAAAAATATTCATTGTGGGCCACATGTGGCCCATGGGCCACAAGTTTGACATGATTGGTGTAGGCAATGCTAAAATGCTCAAAAGTTTGATTATACTCTTGACATGTGCCATTACATGCCAATTCTACTGCAACAAAAAATTGTTCTATGTCCACTTATTTTCAGGGACTATTCCTCAAATATATCGGGACTATAAAAGTAATATGTAATTTGCTAAGTAATCTTAATTTTACTGAGTAATATTAATTTCTGACAATTCTTTTAGCGTGAAAGAGAAGGAGCAAAGCTCAGGTTTCTTTGGAGTTGAACAAAAGAAAGTTACCCTATAAAAGTTGTTATAACCATCTCTTGTTTGTTTATATATTACTTATGCATGTAGACAAATTAAATCTATGGTTACTTTTACTCTATCAACCACCATGTTTTTGTGAATATACAAACATAAGAAATGGTATTCTTGGTCTAAGAAAGCGTGATTTCTCTAAGAAAACCATTATAGAGATTTTTTTTCTAACTTTATTCCCTAAGGTTAAAATACCTTCCACTTCCCTTCAGAACCCATCATGGAACTTTAACTCAGTTAACTTTTGAATTATTCTTGAACGACTTAAGAATTCTTAAATTATTTAAAATCAACAAACCAGCATCTATTACTAGTAAATACCGAATATTTACCTGAATACTTAAGCTGCCTTATAAGTTATCTTAAAGACAGTGCTAAAAAAAATTCCAAAGTCAAAAATAGTTTTGGAACTTTACCAAAACCAGAACACTCTATAAATGGTGAGTGCTTTAAGTGGGGTTGTTTTAAGAAACAATTATAGCTACCTAGTCACTATTTATTGAGTGCTTAAAATGTGTCAGGCACTACAATCATTTTTTATTAACACTTCTGGGAATTCTCAGAACACTCTTATGGGGTAGATACTATTATTTCCACTTCTTGTGTATATCTGTGTATATCTTATGAATTACCTAAAGTTACATAGCTAATAAATTATCTGAGATTCAAACCCTGGCCTGTTTCACCTTAAAAACTGTGTTCCACCCATACTATATACAGCTAGCCTCTCTTGCCCCTCCTTAAAATAGTTAATATCTCTATATATAAAATGCTAATATGCTAAGTGTCCATCTGACCGGTTGCTATGATGTGCACTGACCACCAGGAGGCGAGTGCTCAATTCAGGAGCTGGTGTGATGTGCACTGGCCTTTTACAAAGAAACGGCAACGTGGACCTGGCGCCCACAAAGCAACACTCGGCTTCCACAAAGTGAGACACAGGCCCCACCATCACCCCGGAGCGACATATCACCAAATCGCAGCTAATGCTGTTGAGACCCCATGGCACAAAATGTGGTCCACAGCCCAGTCCAGCCCAGAAACGGTGGCTGTGAGCGCCAGGTAATGACATCATGTAGCAAGGCCTGGTTTCCTCTCCCTCGTGACTAGCCTCCTTGCAGTTTCTTCAGCCTACGAACATGACTTGCTTAATAGCCAGGTATAAACATTTCACACTTTAACTAAATGTCTGTGAAGCGTTTTCCTGTGCCTCATCTCATTTGATCCTCACAGAAGTCCTGGAGTAGGTAGATAGGAGACTTGGTGAAATCCTATTTTCTCTTCAATTTTATATATATAAAAGGCTACGTTGACTCGCACATGTGCGATACCTATAAAGCTCTCATTGGCACCAATTGCATGCATGTGTTTCGATCTGTCATTGTTGATCGTGAATTTGGTTGAAACCTCTATTATAGAGAATCGGCGAATAGAGATATTAAAATATTTCTTCTCATTAATTTCCTTTCAGTGTGCATGAATTCGTGCACTGGCCCACTAGCAGTTATATAAAATGTGAAACATCTACCCGCCCAGGGTAGCTCAGCAGTTGAGTATCAACCTATGAACCAGAAGGTCTCAGTTAGATTCCCGGTCAGGGCACATGCCTGGGTTGCAGGTTCCATCTCCATAAAGGGCAGAGAGGTGGCAGCCCATCAATGATTCTCTCTCATCACTGATGTTTCTATCCTTCTCCCCCCCTCTCTTCCTCTCTAAATATATTTAAAAAAATAAAAATAAAAAGTGAAACATCTGAAAGGTGGATATTAATAACAAATAAGAACTGAGAGCCTTTGAGAGGATCACTAGTTTTGGTTTTGCACTACAGCTTAAGGAAAATATCAGACACCTGCATTTGTTTTCACCTGTGTAAGTAAACAGCAAAAAGTATTTATTTCCCTGGTATACAATTTGTATAAGATAGACTATATTTCATTCCTAAAAGAGGCACTATACCATTTTAATAACTTGTATTTATGACTTATTACTTTAAAAAGTTATTTTATTCTGTTTTTTAAAATATCTCATGATAAAGAAAGCAAAAGCTATACAATTATTATATTTTAACGGCTGTAACAAAAAAAAAATAATAAATCTAGGTAGGGAGAGAAGAGAAAGAAAATTGGAGCTAAAGCAGGAAACAGCCCAGAAAATCAGACTGTTGATCATGAAGAAATCAAATATACTCAGCTCTTGTCAGAAACTGGTAATATGGTGTTTTTTGAAAATATATTTTTATTGATTTCAAAGAGGAAGGGAGAGGGAGATAGAAACATCAATGATGAGAATCATTGATCGGCTGCCTCCTGCACGTCCCCTCCTGGAGATTGAGCCCGCAACCCGGATATGTGTCCTTGACTGGAATCGAACCTGGGACCCTTCAGTCCACAGTCCAACGCTCTATGCACTGAACCAAACCAGCTAGGGCCTGGTAATATGTTTAGAATGATAGCATGAATGTGAAATTTAGAGATAATCCAAAGCTGCCTTAATAAAGGCTGTCTCCTTCTGTACCCCCAATCTTTTATTAGATACCCACCCTCCAAAAAAGAGTCATTAAGCTCCACAAAATCTAGTATTTTGCTTTGTGAGTCAATCCAAACTTTTTCTGGCCATCATAGCATTGAAAAGAGTGAAATATAAAAAGGCTTACCAAAACAGTAGTGAGAAGAGGTCAAAAACTTAATATAGTTAACACAATCCTGCTTCTGGCAAACTGTCACTGATGCAGGCCAAATTTTTACAAGCGTTACTGTTGTCTTAAATCTTCCTATTTCAAATAGCTCTTAAAGGAACATAGAAGGCAAAAATCTAACCTGAACCAGCTAAAAAGTTAATTACTGTGAACCAGCCTTTAACCAATAATACTTTAAGTATAACATCCTATCACTTTTTTTCCAAAAGAGAGCTTAATGTGGGCTTTATCCTATACTAGATGCCCGGTGCACAAAATTCATGCACGGGGGAGAGGGGTCCCTCAGCCTGGCCTGTACCCTCTCCAATGTGGGATCCCTCTCACAATCCAGAACCATTGGCTCTTAAGCACTCACCTGCCTGCCTGCCAGATGCCCCTAACTGCCCCCCTGCCGGCCTGATGGCCCTAACTGCTCTCCACTCCTGGCCTGATCCCCCTAACTGCCTATCTGTACTCCCCTCCTGGCCTGATCCCCCTAACTGCCTATCTGCTCTCCCCACCTGGCCTAAACCCCCTAACTGCCCATCTGCTCTCCCTTCCTCTCCGCGCCTTCAGACCCCAGTATAGGAGTGCTGAGAGCTCTCTGCCAAGGCCCCATCCCCCTCCTAATGGCCCCCTCCAGGGTGGTGCCAGGGCTGCCCCTATCCTGATGCTCCCACTCTGGGCCCGGCAGCGCAGCAGGCTTGCGCGTGCCTCCAATGGGGTGCCACAGGGTCCGTCCTGACACCCCCCCCCTCCAGGCCGGGCGGTGCGGTGGGCCTGTGCACACCTCTGCAAGGGGGGCCACCCCCGACAGCAGCCTCATGTTCCGGTGGTGCAAGTCCCCGCCCCTGTCCCTGCCCACCAGCTCCTGTGCGGGCGCAGCCAGTTGAATGGTTGTGACTGCACCCACTCCAATCGGGGACCCCTCGGGGGATGTCCGACTGCCAGTTTAGGCCCAATCCCTGTGGGCCTAAACCAGCGGCCAGACACCCCTCTCACAATCTGGGACCGCTGGCTCCTAACCACTCACCTGCCTACCTGCCTGATTGCCCCTAACTGCCTCTGCCTGCCTGATCACACCTAACTGCCCCCTCCTGCCAGCCTGATCTCGCTTCCAACTGCCCTCCCCTGCAGGCCTGATCTTGCCCCCAACTGCCCTCCTCTGCCGGCCAATTTGGTTCTGATTGGTCAGTTTCTATGCCAGTCAGCATCAAAAGTTTCGCCTCCTAAGCAGCCATTGGCTCCTCACAGTTGACCTAGATTTGGTTCTGAACTGGTCAGTTTCTATGCCAGTCAGTGTCAAAAGCTTTGCCTCCCAGGCAGCCATTGGCTACTTACATTCACCCAGATTTGGTTCTGGTTGGTCAGTCTCTATGCCAGTCAGTGACTCTGGGCTTATCAACGGGGCCTGATCAGAAAGGTGGGGCTGATCAGCAGCCCTGTGGAGGCCTGGAGAGAAATGGAGGCAGGGCTGTTGGCCAGGCTGGGAGAGAAAGAGAGGCAAGTTCTGATCAACAGCTGCCACAGAGGCTATGGATCAGACACTGCTCCTCTCGGCAGGCCTCTCTCTGGAACTGATCCGCAGCCCCCTAGGCAGTCAGTGCTTGGTTGGGTGCCCTCAGTGCCCCAATCAGTGCTGGGTTACCACGCCAACCCAGCACTGACTTCTTGTATGGTCGAGCTTTCGGTCCTTACGACCCTGGCTCTTTATTATATAGATTCCAGAAACATTTATCAAGTATATATACTATGTGCCAGGCAAGCTGTCAGATGGTGTGCAATCACAAATTAAAAAGTTTAATTGGGTAAGGAAGAGGCAGATATGTAAGCAAGCAAATACAATGAAGTGATTTAGTGTCATGAGAAAAGAAAGGGGCAGTCAAATCATTGTGGGGAGTGAGATCTGAAAGATGAGTAGGAATTTTCCAAGCAGACAACAGCCAGATGTGAGTGTGGGCTAGTTTGGGGGAAAGACATTTCTGATAGAGCACACTGAAAAAGGGCAGAAATACAACACAACATTGTTATAATTGGTTAGAACCGGAGTACATGTGCTCTGAGGAACTTAATGAGAGCTGTGTCTGAGAAGGCAGGAGCCTGAATATAAGGGGCCGTATATTAGGCTAAGAAGCTGTTCTTCATTTGCTTGGTGATGGGGATGATGGAGTTAGATTTTAGATGACTGAAGACTGACAGGACTTGCGGATGGATCAGTTAAAAAAGAGACACATGAAGGACTACTAGTTAATCCCACTTACAAAAATGCGAACACTCAGGAAAATGTAAGTTTGAGGAGTAAAATCAAGAATTGTGTTTGGATCTGCTAAGTCTGGGATACCTACTAAACTCTAATAAGGAGGTGAGGTGTTGGAAGTAAATGCTTGGAGTTGGCGGGAGATCACAGTTAGAGATAATATTTGGAAATCATTAACATAAATGCATTTAAATTCATAGGGCTAGATGAGCTCACTTACGGAGAGTGAATAAAGAGAAGGGAGCTGGAACCTCTAGGATTCAGGGGCCAGTGAAGCAGAGGCTAGTCAGCAGAACAGAGTGAGAAAGATTGGGCTAGGAGGCAGGAGGAAAATCAGAATAATTTCTAACTGGAGGGGTTGGACAACAGGATGCAATGCTGCTGAGAGTGGGTAAGACAGGCACAGAAAGATGACATCGGACTTGGTTGGTAACAAGGGATCTAGTCAGTTGCAGTCTCAGGAGTGTGGTGGAGACAGCCCAACTGGAGTGGGCTGAGGAGAGGATGGGAAGTGAAGAAGCAGACACTGCTTCTCAGGCACATTCTCAAACATAATTATTCTCTTTATATATGTCCCTCTTGAATAAAGAGTTTATTGAATTTTTTCCCCATATGTCTGTACTTTCTTGATGGCAGGGACTGCCCATAACATTAATCTTTACATCTCCAGTGCCTAGTTCTATGCCTGGCACATGTCAGAAGATTAATAAATGTTTGCTAAATGAATCAATGAATATTTGGTAGTTATAATTCTGACTCCTACCTCTTAATCTTTTATTAAAGAAAAAACATCTTAAAATACTCACCTGAGTTTTTATTACATGGGTATGTTTTCCGGTTCTGAGGCAAAAGGGTTTCCAATAATTGAAAACAAAAGCAATGATACTAAGTAAATGTTATTCTAAGGGAAGCATATTTAGATTCTAATGTATCTTAGTGAATCTTATTAGAAAGGACAAGCCTGGCTTCACCCTTGAACAAGCTCACTGTTCAGTGAAAAAGTCTTCTAGCCAAGATTATCTCATGGACCATGAATCGAGCACCCATAACTAGACCATGACAATGTGTATATATGACAAAAGCATTATGTACTCATGATGATCTTTTGTTTTGTTTTTCACAATGAAACTGTCAATCAAAAAAGAAAGAAGATAATTAAAACACTAAAACAGAAATGGAATTAATGTAGAAATAGTGAAAACATTGACCCTTTCAAAACCTTTAGAAATCATTTCAAAATGATGCTTGAAATGTACATCCAGGTGTATTATAGAGAGTTACTTAACATTTCAATAATCTGCAGGGACAGAAACTACAGGTCTCATCTTCATGTTAAAATCAAATTTTCCTTTCAGATTATCTGTGTTCTATGATGGTTTTAAGTGCAATTTATAGAGAAGGTTATTGAATAAAGGAAGTCCATAAAAATACAAACAACACTTTAAAAATTCCTGCTTAAAACCATAAATTTCTTCCACATAATAATTCCAATTTTCCCTCAAATTTCCATCCAAATGTAAGTTTATATGAAATATGTAAACAATATAATATTGTTCTAGATTAGCCTCAAACCCCGAAATACACTTCTCAAATATAAAACATCTAATCAAACCTAAGTCTCTTAATCACCAAACAAAAGACAGAGTGAATGCTCATTAACATGGTACACGTCATCTTTTTATCTCCAACCCCACCCTACTCTCCCAACTGCTTCTGATTTTCCTTTTTCTACTAAGGGTTCCTACTCCTGCTAGTGCTGATGGCTAGAAATCTCAATTCAACCCTATTCCTTTAAAACCTGTTGTTAAATTCTATAGATTCTATTTATCACAAGCATCTACTTTACAACAAAATTATCTCTGGTCTGAACCACATACTTGTTTATAACTTGTCTATTTCCTTCCAGATTTACCTCATATTCACCATGTACACTGAGGCCAGAATAATCTGAAAGCATAGCTCAAATCACCTTAAATTTCTACTCAGCCTCACCAGTCTTGACAAAATAAAATCTAACCTGCTCCAATCTGCCTTTCCTCTTTAAATCCAATTACATTTTCCTCCTCCCCTCCAGATTAAGTGGAACAGGGTCTTCCTTACAATTCTCGAAGCCTGTTATAGCTTTTCTACTGCTGTCCTTTCCATGCTTGTGCCATTCCCTTTGTTGGAAATGTGGTCCACCATCTAGTCTTTGCCTGCTCAAATCTCGCTAAAATCCTTTAAGACCCCAGCATGATCTGTAGATCAATAACATACAGGATCCCCCCAAAAGAAAAAAACTATGGCATTTGTCTAACAATCTAGCTCTATGAAACTAGTAGCCAAAAGCTCTGACTGTAGAGACCTATTCAAGGTGGTAATTTGATTCATTAATCTTTTAAGGAGCATATCCTAATTAATTTAGATATAATTGTGCAAGTATATTTATAGATAGGTAAATAAACTAGAAGGGAGAGAGGGAGGAAAAGAAAAGAAAAAAAAAACCCAGAGCAATTCTTCCTGGTAAATTTAACCTGAGTTATGCATGCATCGATTTCAGCTTCTATTTGGCTATGGAGACATGGCCATTAAATTATTGTATTCTATTCCAGACCCATTTTCCTAGATTTTTGCTTAAGTCATGAGAAATGTCATATGGAGTTAAAGGTATGCAGGACAAATGTGGGGTTATATACATGTTGTTTTCTTTATTTTAAAACTTAGCTCATCTTATATGCATAAATGCACAAAAAAGCACATTTTAGGGACATCTTCTCAAGTACTCCAAATATATTTGGCCCAAACTGGCAAATAAGTGTGATTAAACTCTGGTGCCAGGTATGAGCTTCACTGTGGTCTGCAAATTGTTAAAAATGACCCAGCATTGGTTTAGCTGAAATTCTCATTTTCCTCCCTTTGCTGGCTTTATCACAAATTACCTAATACGTGCTCTGAGCACAACTTCCACAGTGCAAATGAGGCAAATGGAAAGGCAGATCTGGTGACTGTCCTTCAGTAAGCTTTTCTGTAAATCATTCCAAGAATTCTACGCCCCTTTCCTTTTAAATTCTTTTCTTGAACATGTTCCAATCCTTCACATATGTTCTTTCTTTCTCCTCCTAACTCTGGCGCCAAGATCCCCCGTCTATCTTTTTAGTCAATTTGGCCACTGCTTTTCACTGGGAGGAGGCCTCTCCTTTGCCCTGAGCACCTGATCATTTGAATAAACTTTTCAATCATACTGCAACATGGGGCACAAACTTGACTTTAACTGATAAAAAGCATTTTAAGATCAAGTTCAGCTTGAAGATAGGTCTAAGTTAAAAGTCAGTAAGATTAACTTATTTAAATTAAACCTGGCTACATTTAAAAAGTGCAACAAAGGAATGTGCTAATGCAAGCCTCATTGTTTTACTTAATTACATGTCAGATGGCAGTGGCAGCTCTGTGCTGGCAGGTCTGGATGCTAGAATGGTGCCTTTGGGAGAACAGGGTCTTCTGTAGTATTTATAAGGTAGATTATTGAACACACAACACACATATACACACACAATTGAGGACAAGCGAAAAAAGGAAGAGTTAAGGGAAAAATAAGGTATGAGTCTTTTCTCTGCCTTAAACCACAATTAATTAAATGCTGTAAAGTTATCCTGTTAGAATGAAAGGGTAAGGAGAGGAAATCACCTACCCCCCATGACCTGTGAGATCAGTGATTTTAATAGATCAAGTAACACATTAAAGGGAGGAACTATGAAGGACATTACTATGGAGGTTTAAATAAGACTTCATGCTTTGATAGTAAATAATAGTATCTGGCAACTGAGAGAGATTGAATTCCTCGTGCAAAAATTAAATGTAAGTATATTTGTACAAACTTTCAAAACACAATTATTTTCCTAAAAGACACTAATCAAGGCAGGAAAACTAAACCAATAGAGTTGACAAGAGAATGTGTTAACAGAATGCTTCTTAAAAGCATTTACTTTCTGATATTCAGACATAGAGAAGGAAGGTCAAGCCCCATCCTCAAATGCATCTATGCAAGACTTTTTATGTAATAGCTGGATAAACATTATATTATTTTACCACCACATTTGAAGCTTTAGGTAAACATTAAAAAAAAATTGACAGGCTCAATGATGACAGAATCTTCTTAGACTATTTTGATAAGATTTATATTACTACCAATAAGTTATTCAAATGTCAAAATAAAGCCAGCTACATTACTGAAAAAAATTAGCTAAGATATATTTTAGAATTTTAGGTTTTAATTGTAAATATAGTTTTAGGATACATTTTGGAGAAATATGTAATTTCAGTAATATATGCTCATTTAAAAAATGTAGAACTTATATAGACCACACAATCACAGACATCAATTTAGGATAACTATAAAGTTATAATTTGTGATTTTATTTTTTATAGCAACTTGTTCCCTCATCCAAAATAATCTATAGTAAAAAAAGAAAGTACTTTTGCAATAGATTCACATCAATATCAGTATGTCTAAATTTATTCTTCAAACTATGAAAATAATGTTCATTGCACATTTTTTATATAAAAATCAATTTGAACCTATTTCTGTATTCAAACTGAGTGGAAAAACAACTTTTAGGGATATTTACTCCAACTGTAACTACCATTCCTGCACCCATAATGTCTCTCTCCCCCACCCCAATCCCTACTTAAAAAGGTTCCCAAGTTAGCATTCTTCATTTCTTGTCTAAAAATAGAAAACTTAAATAATGAAGGTCAATTAGGTTTGTTTTGTTTCCAATTAAAGATTATGTTTTCATGAACCTTAATAATTTCATGTACTTGCTCAATTATATCTAAAGAACTACTGTATTTTGTCTAAATCAGTTTCCTAAAATTCCTGAATTTACCTCCCTGAAACCTTAAGTCAGTGGATTAATTTAGAATACAAAATCCAATGGACAAAAATAATCTGGATAAAAATAACTCTCTGATGCTTAATTTAGGAAATTAACATGTTGAAATTTCTGGCTCCTAGAAAGTCATTAGAAGAGGAGGAGTAATAGTAATAATCTTGTAAAGGCCAAAGCCACTTGTCAAGCATTATGCACCTTTCCAAACACAGGAATAATAGGGGCAGTTTTATTTATGTAAGAAATTAAAGTCATTTTTCCCCCCAGAGAGAATAGGCTTGACCACCAGAAACTTCTTCCCAATTACCTAACACATGCCAACATATTTCCAAACGGCAGTTACAATTTAAAGTCAAGAGCCCTACTTCTGATAAGTGTGGAAGGTGTAAAATACCAAATAAGTATCCTTCTACTGGCTGATAAAAGCTCAGCCTGAAGCCTAATGCTGGCAACTATTTGAATGTGCCAGAGGACCCTGCAATAATAGTACCAACAGGGTGACAGTCACCTGAAGGGTCCCTCATTTCTTTTTCTCCAGTCTCTTCCTACTTTTCAACCATTAAGAATTAACATTCTCACCCCCTTCCTGGGCCTCAGTGGTCATACATATCAGTGAGCATTGAGGGCCTGTCAGTCACCTCACTTTCCATCCCTTTCCCCCATGGGCCTCCTCATGCGCCTCCTCCTTGCCAAGTGTATAATGTCTGTCAATCTTGCTGTAATCGACTGTACAGTTTACCTGTTGTTCTCCCAAAGTTGATCAACTCTCCCCAAAGATGCCTCTCCACCCTGTGTGTCAGTCTTTCTTTGCTCCCTGGATCTGTTTCTGACTGGAGGTTAGCCTCTTCCTGCTGGCTTTGTCTCCCGCCTTTGTGTTTTTCTCTTTACATCCCCTGACCTACCTTCTTCCCACTGTCATTCCTTTTCACGTCCTCCCCTTGGAACAGGCAAGCTTATCTCCATCTGGCAGGGCTGAGTTTCTCTCTCCTGTCTGCCTCTGTCCCACAGCCTGTCTATCTGGCTTCCCCCATATGGGCCTCCACACTCCATGCTGGTGCTGGTCTCTTCCCTGCAGGTGCACCTGTCTAACTAACACATGCAGTATTGTATTTCTTGTCTCTCGTTGCATTCCTATTGCTGGGTGTACACTGCCCTCTCAGCCATACATGAGACAGTTTCCCTGGGATTTCATGGTAAAGGTAACTTTGTCCCTCTGCACGCACTCCTCCCTCCCCTCTCAAGTCTGAGTGTTTCTCGTTATATGCCTCTCTGGAGGGTAACATATGTGCCCTGATGTGAACATCCATGTGTCCACTCAATTCTGTGAGTGCCCTTCTGAGACCATGCTCACCGCTCTCTCTCCTGATGTTTACACCTACACTGTCCTGTGAGTTCATGTACTCACTCCCCAAGCAGTGCACAATCGAATACCTCCCGCTGTGTGCATGTTTATGTAGGGGGCCTCCCTGAATGTGTCTCCCTTGGCTCAGGTTCACATGTCCCCGTGAACCAGGGTCACACCTCCTGTGGCTCTCTACCTCTGTCTTCCTTGTATGCATTTAAAGTGCCTGGCACTAGTGGGAGCTCAACAGATGTTAAATTTCCACTTTTATCTGAATAACTGAGTCTGCATCTGAGTGTCCCTCTGTGCCTGTTTTATGACATCAGTTAATTAGAGCGTGTTTCCTTGATATGGACTGAGCTATTTGTTAGGCTGCTCTGTGAGTTATCTCTCTCTCCAACTGGCTCTCCTCTTGGAGTAAATATTACCCGTCCACATATGGTAGATACCTCCCCTTAGGCGATGTGTCCACTCCGGTCTCCCTCATCCACACATGTCCATAAACGGCTTCTCCATGCACCGAGATTGCAGTGTCTCTTCTCTGTCCCTCACTTTTTTTTTTTAAACGTGAGGTTTGTACTCTAATTGCAGCGTGTGTGTGTCTACAAGAGCCTTCGCTGTACTCGAGTTGTGTACGGAACGCGGTGCGGGGTAAGACACTGGATGCAGTATATCCTCCCCCCACCCTTAACCTCGTTCCATGTCTCTACGTCCTTGAGCCCCCTTCCCCCCTTCCTCCCACCTCCCGGAGATGCGGGACATCTTTCTGGTACGAGGAGCCTCCACCAATCTGCCCCTGTAACCGGTGCCTAGCTCCTGGGAGAGCGCTGGGTGTGTAGCTCCCTGGATCGCGGTGTTCGTGCGTCTCGGGAACCCAAAGCGCCTTGTCCCCAAGTCCCTGGGAGTGCGGGGAACGAATGTGTCCCCCCTCCTCACTCGTACGCGGAGCGCCTGTGTCCCAGCCTTTCCGAGTACGCGAAACGTGCCCCCCCCCATATACGGAGTGCCTGTGCCCCCATCTCTGCGAGTACACGGTGTGTCCCGCCGTACACGAAGCGCCTATATCCCCAAGTCCCTGCGAGTACAAGGTGTGCCCCAGCTCCATAAGCGGGCCGCCTAGGTCCGTCTCTGCGGGTCTACGGTGCCTGTTACCCCCAAACGCAGACGGCTTGTGCCCGCGGGTCCTCGGTA